CCAGTATTAGTGGCAATAATAACAATAGTGGTCATAGTAACAGTAATAGTAATGGTGGTGGCAGGAGTCCTAATGGCGGTAATAGTAGTGGTGATAGTAGCATAGTGGTGATATTACTAGTGACAGCAGTAATAGTGGTAGTAACAGTGGTGGCAGTAATAGCAATAGTAGTAATAGTCTGGGCTCCACCTTGTAGGCAGAGGGAGCCGCTGAAGGGAAGGGAAGGGAAGGGTAAGCGTCTGAGTCCAAGGACGATGTGGGAGGCGACCAGCGTGGAGGAAGCACTGAGAATAACCCTGTCCTAGTTCTGCGGGGTTCTGGGCCCCAGTTCCTGGCCATCTCGTCTTAGATAATTCACCCAAGGGAAGTGGTCTGTTTCCAGAAAATCCCACCATCCCATTGGGAACTGGACTCTGCGGCCAGTCACATTCAGTCACGGCTGCTGGATGGACAGAGTGAGGGTCCGAAGTGACAAGCCTCTCTCCATCACTTTCCAAACACCCAGATCCTTAATTGTCTCTCTTCCCAGCTGTTAGGATCCTCAACAGTCAGAATTACTTTCTTCTTTCTATCTTTTGTTTTCTCCACCTACTCATGCACTGCCCACCACCTACCTATCCATCCATCCATCCATCCATTCTATTTTATTTTTTGTTGTAAAAAGCTTCACCAAATATTAACTTCTGGGTAGTGGGGTTTTGAGGGTTTTTTCCATCCAATCAGTGCACTTTTCCATATTGTTTAAATTTTTACCCCATACATCCATCATACGTCATTGTATAAAAACGATGTGTTGATAAAAACAAACCAGCATACCAAAATAAAAATACACACCCTAGACTTCAAATGCTTACTCTGGTGGAGGTCAGCCGCCACATAAGACATCTGACTCCTCTGGGACCACCATGCCGTGAGGAAGCCCAAGCTAGCTAAGTGGAGGGGCTGCGTGGAGAGGAGGGGATATCCAGCCAGCTCCAGCTGTCCCAGCCGCTGAGCCCGGGTAGCTCTGTGAGTGAAAGAGCTATGTTAGGCATTTCAGCCCCAGCATATCAATTTGGAGAAGAACCAAGGAGCCCATTCGACAGTCAGAACTGGGACATCAGACACATTTCTAGCCTTTCAAACCACCTCAAATCAGGAGCCAGTCACTGAGCAAACACAGCTCTCCCTTCTACACCCTACCTAAGTCAACATACTAAGACAGTTTTATTTTCAATTGAAGTAGAGTTGGTTTACAATGTTGTGTTAATTTCTGGTTAATTTCTGAATCTATCTGGTGTATTCACTTATATATATTCCTTTTCATATTCTTTTTCATTATAGGCTATTATAAACTATTGAATATAGTTCCCTGTGCTATACAGTAGGACTTTGCTGTTTATCTGTTTTATATATAGTAGTTAGTATCTGCAAATTCTGAACTCCCAGTTTATCCCTCCACCCCACTCTTTCCCCCCTGGTAACCACAAGTTTGTTTTCTATGTCTGAGTTTTTTTCTGTTTTGTAAATGAGTTCAATTGTAAGCAGTTAATTTTAAATACACACACACACACACACACACACACACACACAAACACGTCATAGACACACAAACGTAAATTTAAACGGACCGTTAGG